GTGGCAATTCTCCCCCCTCAGCCTCCTGAGTGCTGAGATTATAGACATGTTCTACCATGCCTGGCTACCTGGCAATTTTTATTTTTTAATATTATCCCCCCGCAATTGTTTTTTTTTATGGCAGAAGATGGCTATGATAAAATCCTAGCAGTTATCCTACCACCAAACAATCCATGAACAAAAGGTCAGATATAGTTAGCTCAAATAATAATTAGAGCTAGAGTTCTGAATTTAGATGTAATTTAAAAAATTCAGTCAAAAAGAAAGTTTAAACATCTTTTTAAAAATATGGGTGCCATACATTTTAATGAATGCCTAAACTATGAAAATGTGTTACTTGTTCTTCTGTGCTCTAGACAAACTGCTTTTCTTGAGGAAGAGAACAGCCAATGATTAAACAGTAGATTTTCAGTTTGAAGCAAAGTGTCAAAGCCCGCAACAGAAAATGCTACCTTTTTCCAGACCCTTCTGGAGCTGTGGCTGCTGCAGCTCCCACTACCCTTAGTATCCTCATTCAGAGAGTTCACCCAAAAGGGGATCACCCAGGCTAAAATCAAAAAAACACAGAAAGCTTTGGGAGTTTCTATTATGAAACAAGCCAAATGAACTCAGCTGAGAGACTGTGTCTTTTCCCCAGAGAGCACTCTAGGCCCCAAAGAACACACTGTCTGAAACACCCTGGACCAAAAAGAACCACATATGTCTTGATTTCTAGAAGTCAAAACCTAGATTCAGTGGAAAAAAAAACCAAAACAAAACACCAAAACCTTGCTTATTACCAAAGACAGTAAAATGAAGGGGAAAAAAACAAGATGAAAATAAAAGTGATCTCTGAAATCTGCTTTGCAAACTTAAAATTACATTGCATAATGGCAGCATCACTGCCTTCACAAACCTCCCAAATGACCCCATTCCATATGGGTGGCAAGTTCTGATCTGTGTAGACAAGTACTGTTGAGCCCAGGCTGGGAACCAGAAAACACATCCCGCCCTTACTGTCACTGAGACCCCTTCCCAGCAGTGCTAGGTGCACAGGACCATCACTACACAAGAGGACAAGCGCATCTGGCAGGTCCAAGCCAAGCATGGGGTGTGAACTGTGGACAAGCACACCTGTACAGTGATACCAATACAGCATTTTAGCATAGCTAAGGCCCAATCTTTAAGCATGTGAATACTTTTTAACAGTAATAGATTTCTACTTAATACATATGAAGTATAAACACATTTTTCATCATATTGGAAAATTTCCTAAATTCAAAATATCCTCTTTGTAAATCCAGTGGGAAACTGAAGACCTAGGGAGATACTAGCATACACAGATAAGAGTTATGAACATTATTTAGCCAGTATACAATGTACACTTTTTTTTGTACTCGAGACTGATCTCAGGGCCTTTGCACAAAGCTATACATACTGTCATTTCTTATGTTATTTTGACAAAAGGTTGGCTAGCCTGGGCTCCAACTTGTAAGCCTCTCAGTATTGGGATTAGAGATGTATGCCACTACACCTCACCTATACATATTTCTTGACTTCTAAATCATCTTTCCTAGACCTCAGAGATTAACAGATTTGTGATGATAATGAAATGATGCTTGGCAGAGAATTTATCAAACGGAACAGAAATAGAACCCCCAAAATGAAATGTCCACAAATCTAGTGGGTCCTGGTGGTATACAAGTCTAACTAAGATGCAGGCACTCTCATTCAATGATGCACTGAATGGGCCACAGGTCTGAGGCCACCTGTGATTAAGCTACCAGGCAAGGCCCTTCCTCAGCTGGATACTTACCAGAGGAGCTTCTTAAGCCCAGGTGAGTCATGGCAGCAGGGAGGTTTCCCACACTGCTCCCCACATTCACACTGCCCAGGAGGTGGTCGCTGGGCTCCAGAGAGGCTGGCAGTGGCGTCGAGCAGTGGAGGTTGGTCAGATCTGGCAGTGACCCTCCTGTGTTCAGGTTCCCCAGAAAGGGTGAGAGGCCTATGTTTTGCCCATTATGGGGGAGCGCACTGCAAAACAGAGATAAATACTACTTTTCACAATGCCCTTGGCTGTCAGGAAATGGAGTATATGTAGTAGCCAAGTAAGAACAGTAGATATCAAAGTTCAAAGTCCTAATGTAGACTGTTCTCCCCCATTTTGAGGGCCTGGGTGGTTGGTTTAACCTCTCTGAAATATAATTTCTGATCTATTAAATTGGACTGACGATGTCACCTATGGCTAGTGCTCTGTAAAATATTTGGCACTGTTTATTTCTACAATTCTATTTTGCTAGATTTCTAAACTATTTTTCCCACTCAAAAGATAAAAACATCATCTCTGGGCAACTAGATTCCTTCTAAGACAGACTGTTTTAATTACAGTTGTCTTAAACTTGAGAATGAGAAAAACACATTGCTGTTGAGCATGTATCAAAACCTGTTGGCTAGTTGCTGTGTACCAGGCCCAAGGCTACTGCTGTGGGGTGGTGACAAGGAATACTGAATATGGAGCATGCACCACATCTACACCTCCCAGCCAGGCCAGCCCTCAGCACTTATAGATGGAGGCCTGTGGCCACCTACTTTATCTTTAGCCTTATAAATCAAATGAACAAACCCTAAACAAACCAATTCTGTGTGTCTATCTTGGCAGATCACATCTTCTAAGAGCCTGGCAGCTTCAAACCTATAAGTTTTAGACTCCTCACACAGGGCAGCCCAGCCCACCACCCATGCCCTTACCCTGCCTTGCAGGGAACACAGGGGCTGTCCTAAGCCATATGGCCCAGCTCTGCCTACACCCAGTCACTCCACAGGTCTAGGAAACATACAAAGGGGATCCCCCTAGTCCTTTGGAGCTAGTCCCTCTACAGGGCTGGGCTGCAAAGCCTCAATCACAGCTCACAGACAGGCAGCAAGGCAGGAAGGACAGCCTGCAATGTGGCAGTTCTGCTGACGGGTGGGTAAACCGGGAGATAAAGTGACATGGGGAACAGGAAAGCAGTGTCATTATGTCAGTGTTCTGGAGGGGAGGTTTTGCCAAGGACATCCTGAGGACATGTGGTGACAGGGGTCAGGTCAGCGCGTGGCAAACGGCAGGCAGATGGGTGAGGAATGAAGAAGGAAGATAACAGGCTGTTGTGAAGAGTCTGGGACAGAAAACACAGCAAAGAGGGAGCCTAAGGCAAGTAACAGGAGGTCACTTTAGAAAGGCTACTGTGTGAGGGTGTATAGAGGAGCAGAAACAGACAGAAGCACAGATCAGAAGGCTCCCACAGTGGCCCAGGTCTGGTCCAGGAACAGAGATGGTGTTGAGAAGGAACAGGGTAAGGCAGGAGGGGGAACCTTCAGAAGACCTTTGGTCAGTACAGCATATATCAGGAGAGCCCCCACCATGACTGGGCCTTTCAGAGACCCAGAAGCAGCAGGAGAGAGCCAAAAAGAGCACAACTTGTGCTCTGATATGACTCAGGCCAGGTGGACAGCTGTGGACAGGTGAGCAGCAGATAGGGAGGCTTGCTGAGGACAGCTGCGCTGAATGTGGAGGCTGCAGACTTCAGGTGCTCAGGCAGCCTGAGCCAAGCAGGGTAAAGGCAAGTCACCTGGTGTGCCTAGGTCTGGGAGGACATGGCCACTAGGAAGGTCACTTAGGAAGGAAGCAAGAGAGCATCTGAGGCTGAGAATGGGTTATGGGAACAGAAAATTGGGGAAGGAGGAAAGACATTCCAGGTCTTCCTTAGGGTAGGATGGCTCCAGGACCTGGGGCAAGGAGCAGAGCCTGGAGCAAGAGAGGAGCTACAACAGAAAACAGGAGAACACAGGGACAAAGGGCAGGGTGGACGCTATCAAATTCACAGAGGGCTCCACAATGATGCCTGGGCTCCTGGCTCAAGGACCAGAGGGCACAGTGGGCAAGGAATAAGGCAGGGGTGGGGAAGAGCACAAACTTGATTTCAGACACTTGGAGATTTACCACATTGGATGACACATAGTATGACTCAGCCAAGTCCTAGAGGAAGGAACAGATATTTGGAGGAACAGTGGAGGTGGACACTGAGCCATGAGGAGTCAGGGGTGGGCAGGCCCTCATGAGTTAATCCTCTTCCAAAAGAAGGCTGACCATGCTGGCCCCACCCCTGGGGCGCACTGAGATGGGCATGATGGTGGGTGCCTGTAATCCCAGTGCTTGGGAGGCTGAAAACAGGAGGATCACTACAAGTCTGACACTGTAAACCCTGTACTAAATACATTAAAAGAAAAGAAAAGAAAAAGGGGGGGGGTGACAATTCTAGACCCAGAGGGAAGGCTAAGTACTGCAGAGAGGCCTCAGGAAAGCCAGCAGAGAGGAGGTCAGAGCTAGGGAGAGCAACCTTTCTGCTCCCACAGTAGGCGAGGGTGGCAGAGGACACCCAGGGACAGAGGAGGCTGAGTGCACCTCCATGGCCTCTCTTCCTGGGGTGAAAGGAGAACTGAACAAAATGCAGAGGTGTGGGGAGAATGGTGGTAGCAGAGGGGCCCACTGAGCAGGCAGTTTTGGTTGTAGAAAAACTAGATTTAAATGTGATCTTTCAGATGGGTAGGTATAAGGATCTGGCTATAGGGTAAAAGTTCAAGTACTAAAATGGTGAAATTGAGAATGTAGAGCTAGCTGCCTGCTGTGACAGCAGAGGGTGTCTTAAGTAAGAAAAGACTGACCCCAGGGCAATGAGGTGGGAATGAAGGCTGAGAGAGGGAGGGAAAAGGCTGCAAGTGGTGTGCACAGTGGCAAAATGAGGAGGACAGAAAAGTAACATGCAGAACAACTTCTCTGTAGTTGAGGGGAATACAGTAAGTCACTCTGTAAACATTGCTGCTACCCATCAGACCTGATAAAAGGCAGGGAATGTTCACTCTCCCCATTCCAAACCCTTGCCCTGGATAAGCCACCTTGTCTGAGCACCTCACAGCCCCAGCCTGCCTGGCTCCAGCCTTCTGCCTTGGGGTCTTCATGCCTGCCCTTTCCTTCACCTGAAGCCCTCCGCCCCTCACTTCACTCTTGATTCTGGTCACAGCTTGTCCTGTTAGAAAGGCTTCCTTGACATCTATCACTGCCCTTCTCCTTACTTTACTCTTCTCCATTTCATTTACCCTCACACAACACACATTCCATTGCTTGGCTTGTTTTTGCCTATCTGGCTCCCCTGGAACATGAGCTCCTTGCAAGTAGGGGCTCGATCTGTCTTGCTCATTGTTCTACCTGCAACCTAGAATTAAGGGGCCAATAAATATTTGTATGAACAAGAGTCATTGAATGGCATGTCAGCTCTAACAGAAGAACAAGAAAGCAATTTTCTTTATCTAAGAAATACTGGCTTTCCAATTCTCCTGGGTTAATGTATTGCAGCCCAGGTCTCCCTAGCTGTGGGCCCTCCAGGATGGGAATGGCTATTAAGCGAGAGCTCAGCCAAAACTGCTTCTTGAGGGAAATCCTGGCCCTTCTGTGGGCAGGGTGTCTGTACCCCTGGGTGGGCTGCTCTCCCTGTCCTGTACATACCCAGCAGGCTTTCTGACATTTTGAAGAGGTCAACTCTCTTCTCAGTTCAGTGTGCAAGTAATTATATGAGTTTATATTTAACTAACCAACAAGAATGTCTGCACAGCAGGTACCCAGTAGGGAGTGCCCTGAATGCACTGCTGTGGAAAGCTCCTGGGGAGCATGGCCTGAGTCCATCCAATTCACCATAAACCGTACAATGGGTGCCTGGGTCAAGCCAGGTCACTTGAAGATTCTACTTTCAAACCACATTTCACACCCAGGGAAGATTTGCTGGCACAGGTTCTGTGCTTCATGCAGCTCTCTGAGGAGCTACCCAGGAATTCCCCAGGGTCCTCTTTCAAGACTTCAGCAGGGCCTCCTCCAGCTGGCTGTGGTGGCAGAGGACACCGAACAGCTGTGTGAGAGGTGAGAGGTGGTCTCCTCTAGTGTGTCTGATGATGCCTGTGCTGCACACTTCCTTTAGCTCCTTATTCGCTCCTAGTCTTAATGCCCTCACCAATTTCACTTTCCATCTTTTTGTAGTAGATATATTTCTGTAAGCTACCTAAAATTTTTAGGGCTGGCGAGATGGCTCAGTGGTCTAAAGCACCTACTTAGAACAAGCTTAGCAAAGCACAGGGACGCGGTTCAATCCCCCAGCACCACATGCCAGCCAGCCCCGCCCCCAGGTGGGCTGAGCTGCCCCCCGACAAATAAATTAAATAAATAAATTTTTAAAAATAAATAAATAAATAAAATTTGTAGGAAGTAAGGCTATATACTATGAAATCCATTAAATAATTGGTAGTGTTACAGAAACTTCTTTTACATTGCAAATCTTTCTATTCATTTTCCAATTTTAACAGAAAATGTTTAAATTAAAAAATATTATAGTAAAAGACAAATTGTTATTCAATCAAAATATTAACCTCTTTTACTTTGGACACTCATACCATTGTTCTTGCCACTTTCTTTTTCATCTATTCCTCAGGTAATGCAATTTTGGTTGTGACCTTATTCAGTGGATCTGGCACCATGCCACTCGTAGCTCTTCCTCAAAGTCAAAGTGAGCATGAAAAGTGAAAAGTAAACATTTGAATGGATTCAAGACATTAAGGCAGCTGCAATAGCACAACTAAAGACATTCAAGAAATGGACTACCAGAGCTGCCTCAGAAAATAGCAAGAACAATGGGATAAACGTGTTCAAAGTAAGGGGGAGTTTCTGGAGGAAGATTAATGGGAATATGTCTTCTACTGTAATAAAAAATTTAAACATTTACCATATTTTTCAATTATACCTCATACATACCATAAAAGTCACTATTTCAACCATTTTTATGGGCACAACTCAATGACATTAAGCATCTTCAGAAGTTCTTTCAACTTCCATATGTCCAACTGGTGGCTTAATGGGCACTGTCATCCATTGTCCAACCTGTCACCTGAGAACCAGCAGGTGGGGGGGTTGTTATGGTTTGAGTCTAGATGTCCCTTTAAAGCCACATGTAGTCATGGGGTGGGCTTCCAGAGTTTGTGATTAATTCATGATCCAATGCTGGGATTATGGGGTGTGAGTGCTACATCTGCCCTGAGGGAAGATAGCAGGGAAGATAAGGGAAGGAAAGAGGCTTGCTCTCTGCTGCTGCTCCTCCCTTTTGGCTCTAGCTGTTTAGCTGCTTTCTGCCGCCATGAACTGCTTCCCTTTGCCATGTGCCACTCTTCCTTGGAGCCAGCTGAGTATGGACCGAAACCTTTACTAACTGTGAACTACATAAACCTTTCCTTCCTTAATTTTGGATGTCAGGTACTTTGTCCCAGCAATGAGAGAACATTAACTGAGACATGGGGCCACATGCTTCTGTTCTCCCATGTGAGCTATGTATTTGTCCAGAGTTAGTTGTGCTATTTTGAAACATATTAATGGTGGTTTTTTTTTTTTTTTTTTTTTTTTTTTTTTTTTTTTTTTTTTTTTTTTGCTATTTTAATTTTGTAATCAAATTACTTTAAGTACATGAAATATGAGTATTCAAAGCCAGCAGCTGTTTTCAGGGAGGATCACAGTTCTCAGAGCTTAGGGACAAAGCAGTAAGTCTTCTCTCAGGTAAAACTGGAGTTAGAAAGACCATTACTTACTTGCTACCTGTGACATCACAAGACCGAGGGCGTCCTGACAGGGACTGGATCTGGGAAAACAAAGAAAGTGAGGCTTACTCACTCAAGGCTAAATTCAGATTTTGAGAAGAGATTTTGAGCACTGGCAAGAGTCAACTTGCAGCTACAGTATCCTCACAGAGTGGATATGTAGATTCTGAGGAGACCTGGAAAATTCTTAACCTTGCCAGCATAAAGAAAGGATAACCTTAAGGTTGTCTCTTTTTTTGTCTTTTTGAGAGAGTTTCACTATGTAGTTCAGCCTGGCCTTGAACTCACTTTGTAGCCCAGGCTGGTCTCAAACTTGCATGGATTCTCCTAACTCAGCCATCCAAGTGCTTAAGATTGCCTTAATTGATGCTTTATTATTTTTCTTTCTAAATGAGAATTAATTCCTTCAAAAAAGGCCAGTGATTCCATTTGTGGAGTTTTTATTTTATTTTATTTCCTTTTTTTCCATAATTTTATTGAGAAACAAATAGCAATGAGACAGTTTCAAACCAAATTGGTAGGACAGTTTCAATAATTAACACATT